AACTCTCACAGTGGTTCAGCATACCCCTGGCACTACAAAGTTGACACATGGGGAACTTCAGTGTGACATAGCCATCGTCTGTGATTTTCTAGAAGAACATAGTATGAAGTATAGGTAACTGCCAGGCTTCTGAGTTATAGGTGAATTGTAATTAAGAGGGGAAATCTGCAGGAAATGAATCGTGGGCTAAGAGCACAGAGAAAATGACCATCTCATTATGTCGCAAATGACTTATTACACTTGGAAAAAAAAAGCGATCACTTGAGTGTCCCTGGGATACAATGAGATAGCTTTCAAAACGTCGTTCCTGAAAACATCTACATCCTCCAAGACGCCAAAAGGCTTGCCAAGTCCGGCATTCACCGTTGTATGACTGGGTATGAATTAACAGATCGTTATTTTCATGGGATAGCCTTCCGAAAAGTCGTGCTTGCGTTGGTGGTTGCTGAAGAAATCCGAGCGGCGAGATGGCTGATACATGCCGCCAGCGCGAAGCAAACGATTGCTCAGAAGCCCTGGGCTGGCTTTACTCTACTTCCTGGATTGTGAAGGTGCACGCAGACTTCAATACTTATTCTGAGGTGATACTTCGAAACGTTAGAGGACATTGAATGAGATGGTATATCGATATAACCAGGACAATTGCTTGTGACATTGCTGGAAAATCGAAACTGAGGTTAGTCGGGTTACCACATCTTGATGACCAAACACATGTCATGTCAGGTTTCAAGAAACATGAAACATGAAAGTTTAATCGTGAAAATTGCTTGAATTGTATGTATCTGAGATCGGAATTTTCTTCTAGTGTGAGGCAAGAGTTGCCGATTGACGTGTGCAAGCGAAATCGTACAGAGATGTTGCCATCCCAACGCGGGTGGGGCAAATCCGACATCCGTACGGTTGGATCTTCTACCTACTTGATACCCACACATGGCAAATATCCCCCCTGACTCAAAATAGTCTCGGTGCGCTTCTGAGTCGAGGAAAATTAGAGCGAATAGAGGGTTTGAAGGGAACCGAAGCCCATATCAGGCGCGGTAAAATATGAAGGTTTGCCTTCGGTACCAGCAATTCACAAGGCCTGACAGCGCGTAGTTGTTTCATCTTGCTTGGGGCACTAAGTCGTGAGCAAAGTCGAGATCCTACTCAAGATTTCGCTGTGCTAATGCACTCAGTACCAGATTTTTCCGGAGACCCTAGTCTCAAGCCTCGCCTTTCGCTGCGCGGTGCACGCGTTGTTTTCCATGTGTCCCGTGATTTGCTGCCGATCGAACGATAATCAGGCCTGGGGGCCATGCTCCGGCGACCATGAGCATACCGTCCCGACTTGGCAATTTTCTCGGCCGGGCCGGAGCACCTCTGGAGATAATGTGTTGGGTTATGCTTCGGCCGGAGCCTCTTTGTACATAAATCCGAGAGCTGTACGGATACGACCTAGGGAGATCATACCAACAATGCTGCTGGATCACTGGGCCCAGAACCTAGAATAGTCGGGGCCGAAGCTCCAATTTACTACCCGAAAGCGAGCGGGGGTTGACGTTGCCGCCACCAACGATCAATTATCAAAGACAAACATGGTCTGTGGAATGGACACGCAAGCATGCCTCCTGTGTCAACCCGCCTAGCACCCAGAGCAACTCTCAAAACGTTTGCTTATGGTACGTGGGTACGCAGCAGCAACATTCCCAACATTGTGGTGCAATGTGCTCGTGGCATGCCATCATGAAATTTGCAAAGATCTAATGATGTATCGAGCCTTGTCATACATAAGTTTAGCAGTGCTGGTAGTTATTGTGCTAATTGCCCAGTGACAGCTGTCTGTGCGTTGGCAGTGTGGATTTTGGCTTCGGTTCGGACTTCGTAGAATCTTAGATTGACGCTGGTCAATGTACGGATAACACTATTGCCCGAGAACATTTCTTGAATCTGGGGTTGGGGATTAGCTGATTATCAATGAGTCTGGAACTTGGTCAGCATTCAAAGAGTGGTCAGGAGAAAGGATGAACTGGGACGACCAACAGGCCGGGGGAATGGCTAGATGCTAATGAAAAAAAAGTCCGGTGCTCGGCGAACTTAAGCACCGATGCGCCGTCTAGCGGCCGGATCCATATTAGATAACTCAAACTAAGGGGGCCACCCCTTGCACCCTCACCGACGCGACGCATCGGAAGACTTTTCGACCACACCAACACCCAAGTTAACCCACTTCCCAGTTCCATCGCGGGTTCTTCCATGCCTGAAAAGTAGGCCAACTTGCCAACGAGGTTGCTTCGGCCCTTCGCTACCTCGCATCTTGGACTTAGCTCCGAGGTCATGGACGGCAGCCTAGAAGAATCTCGAAGCTATCCATGCCAGTTTAGACTCAGTAAGAGTCACGACGAGGAGGATGATGACGAATAATGGCGAATAATGGCATCCAAAGCGCTCCGAGCCCCGGCGGGTTTACCATACCCCGTTGACCGTCCGTCTCGGCCGGCCTCCGCTCTCTCAAACTAATGGGTCTCCCTTTATCTACAGAGTAATAGTATACCTACCTTTCTGGCGCCAATTAGGGAGCCACATGGCCCAACATAGGATCTTCGTTTTTATGGTCCTCTTTAAGACTACGAGTCTCCCCATTGTTAACTTCAGCCCTACCCCTTGGCACATCATCGGTTCTTTTCCTTTCACACCACGTCCGCAGGCCGCAGGAGATCAACTACCCAACTAGATTAGATTCGGCTCTCAACATATCTAACCTAGCTGTGTGATATCGCCTTTCGGTTGTAACGAGCCAGTAACAAATCAGAACGAGAAATTCATTTGCCATGTCACCCAACAACGTCCCACAGAGGACACCACTCTCACAATGGAGTGCTGCCCAACGGAAGGGTATCCTCATACCTATGGTCATTTCATCAGTACTGATCTTGGTCCTCGTCCTTGCCAACATGTCATATCTCTTTGGAGCAACATTCGAGCAAGGGAAGCGCACACACGCACTCAAGATTCTGGCCGTTGACCTGGACGGGGGCGCCATTGGTTCAGCAATTGTAGGCGCATCAAAGAGCTTCCAAGCCGCCAACTTCCCGACCATTGAGTTCGGTTCCGCCTCAAAGTACTCAACTCCCGCAGCGGTGAAGAACGCAGTGTGCAAAGGAGACTACTGGGGTGCCATTTACATCAACGAGGGTGCCTCTGCGAAGCTCGCCAGCGTCATCAACGGCACCTCGACCTCAACCTACAATGCCGCCGACTCAGTCACATACACCTACAACCAGGCCCGATACCCTGCAATCGCCGACTCCACCATCAATAGCAATATCCAAAAGGTCGTCGGCGCATCGAGAGCCTTCTACTACCAGTCGCCCAACGGCACGGCTGCCCTCCGATCTCTGAACACCACCAACCCGGCAGCCATCGCCGCCTACCTAAACCCGATCTCGTCCACCCCCGACCTCATCGGCGCCCAGACGCAAGCGAGCCGCGTCTTCTTCAACACCGTCAACATCATCGTCCCCACCCTCGCCCAGTTCTTTTACATCCTGGCCCTGAACGGCATCGGCATGAGTTCCGGCCTCCTCGCCAAGATGAGAGTCCGCGACGTCTGGCTCATCCGTTTCGCCATCGGCAAGATCTACGGCTTCCTCACCGCCGTCACCGTGACGGGTTACCTCTGGGCCTTTAGGGAGAACTGGGCCGTCGGCGGCCCAGAGTTCGGCAAGACCCTCCTCGTCTTCTGGCTCTACATGGACGTGCAGTGGCAGGTCCTGGAGTCCCTTATCGGATCTTTTGTGCCTATGCAGCTCATCCCCTTCTTCTTCCTCACCTGGATGCTCACCAACGTTGCGAGCAGCGTGTTCCCCTTTGAGATCATAGCGGGCTTCTACAGGATTGGCTACGCCTTCCCGGCACACGAGGTCTACTCCCTCTTGGTGCAGGCTTGGACTGGCTGCGCCGATCAGACGCGCGTTGCGCTACCTGTTCTCTTCTCTTGGTGGCTCGTGGGCCACGTCGGCTCTGTCTTCTCCACCCGCAAGCGCTGCGCTGATGCTGCTGCCATTGTTGCAGCTGGTGCTGCCGCTGCTGCAAAGGCACCAGCTCCGGCTCAGCAAGACGACACAGTCTCCATTCCGCCTCGCTCTGCTAGCACAGAAGTAACTTTGCAGTCCGATGAAGAGCAGGTTAGGAACGAGAAATAAGCGATGGAGCTGCAGGGATTGTAAAAGTCACGGGTTCGAATTTGATCGCCGGAGGGATTGAAGTTTTATGCGGCGACATAGCGGACGGCACGCTTGATACCCAGCATAACATGGAGTTATTGGATCCTGCATCGAGACAATTGGAGAGTCCGATGTTTGCTTTTAGTGCTTGAATAATATAGACTCAACTTAGACATAGCATCTTCCCTTATTGGGGATTATTTCAACCCATCTCAATATGCATTTTGTTCGACCTTGAATTGCTCTGGTTGAATCAAGGTATAGGATAATAATCATTTTAAGCTTTTGATAAGTATTTCCCTTCCTTCTGACAAACGTTGATTTTCTTATTCCACTCCTAAACGTCTCATAATGTCTTCATAAAAGAACACCCGGAGAAGGGGAGAGGGAGAACGAAGCAAAAACATAGAAGAAATGAGAGGAGTATGAAATCGAGTTAGCCAAGAAGGGCGGGAGACATATATTGCTATTTTTACTTATCAGTGACTTGCGGCCCCTTGACCGAACACATCAAGACAAGAGCCAAGGACATTGAGATCTCAGATACAGGCAATTAAATTCTACTCCCTCAGAAAATACGTCGTTAAGACCATTACCCAAGCCTATGGACTCGATGTTGCCCGCCAAGTAATGGACCTTGACACCGAGAGCGCGACCTTTGAGCGCTCATACCTTGATCTCACTGTGATCGAGTTGAACGAGAACCCCCAAAAGTTTTCAATGGACTAGCAAGTGCTTAATTCTTCCCATTACGTCGCACAATAGATAACGGCTAAATTTAATCACCGTAGATATGTTCTACACCTTTGTCTCCTTCTCGCTAGAAACTTCGACATGCATCATGTCGTCTCCTTTGATATCTTGTACGCTGCTGGCGTCCGCGTCGGTACTGTACTTTCCCTTCTTGATATCGCGACGCCACAGGTACTGGCCAACCATGAAAAGAGTCCACCAGATGGCTACGAAGGTGGTATTGACTGTGAATCCTTTCCTCCACTTGGGAGCTAGATTAGGGGAAGACTAGTCAGCCTGGTTTCGAGCGTCTGGATGCCGTGATGGCTTGCTCACCCTCTAGCTTTGGAAAGACGGTGATTGGGTAGAAGCTGAAAAAGATCCACCCGCAAGTCATCTGAGGGAAATGATGTTAGCAGGAATTTCGTCAGTGGTGATAACGACGGTGATGTTTCTACTTACCATGGCTCCGGTAGTGAAAGCTCTGGCTTCGTTGTCGTCTTTCATAATCATGTTGATCCAAGGGAAGAATATCGGTGTGAACTTTGCAAGCGTAAGCGACCATGAGCGTGTTGTTTACATATAAGCAGAGACTTACACAACTAGTGAGGCCAAGCATATAGTAGGCGGCAACTGTATTGACAGTGAGCAGGCAACAAATATCTACGCCGTTTAAAGCAAAACCTACAGTGCAGCCCAGTTGGGATGTCCCAGATCAGGAGACATACGTTTGCGAAGAAGAGGATGCTTGCCACGACGCACATGACGGCCCATATGGGGTAGATCATACACAGCGAAGTGGCAACGACACCGGCCACGATGGAGATTGCTTGGACGCCGGTGGGGATGACATTGATCTCAGCAACAGTGTATGTGCCATGCAAAGTGGCCTCGTGCTTGAGCCAGAGTGCCATCTGACCAGCGACATAGGAGGTGCATTGGAAGCTGAAGAGATGGCGGTGTCAGTTTCGTGCAGAGTCCGGCTAGAATGCTACCCATGACTTACAAGACGTAGGTGAAAACGGCGAGGTAAAAGTGCCAGTGAGTGAAGACGCGCTTCAGCATCCTCTTCCCAATCCTCTTGCTCTCCTTGACCCCGTCATCTCTCATCCGTGCTTGAGCAAGTTTCTGCTCAGCATCCGTGAGCCACCAAACCTTGGGACTCGTCGGCAAGCCAGGGAACAGGAAGAATCCCGCAATGGAGATGGGCAAGCTGATAATGCCGTCAATAATAAACAGCCACCGCCAGCCAGCCATGCCGGCGACACCGTTGAGATTGTTGTACGCCGCAGCCTGGAGATACCCGCCAAACATGGCGCCAATGTTGGACGAGACATACCACACACCTGCGCGCTTGAAGAGCTCGTCGCTGCGGTACCACGAGGTCAGGAGATAGATTGCGCCCGTGGCTGCCGGGGTCTCGAGAACTCCGAGGAGAAAGCGGATGCCGTAAATGTCGTATTCGTTGCGGAGTTTGCATTGAACAAAGGTCGTGATGGACCAGAGGCATTCCATTGTGGGGAGGTACCAGCGAGTGATGTGTGGGCGGGAGATAATCATCATGGAGGGGATCTCGAAGATGAGGTACCCAATGTTGTAGAATGTTCCAAAGAGTGAGTATCTAGTAACACTTGTTAGATACTGGCAAATTCGGGTGTGATGATACATCAATTGAGGGTTCACTTGCTGGTTTCCTGTGAGTTTCAAGTCCTCTTCCATGCCGGAGACATAGGCGTGGTTGATGTTGGCTGAGTCAAGCCATTTCAAAAAGACTGATGTCACGTTAGTGGCTACGTTTCAGGACTGACTATCAGCAAGTAATACACATCAAACAGCAGAGTGAGAGAAGAATGCTGTCTGTTGAGAACCTTCGTTAGCTTTGACTAAAGCACAGGGATGAGTGGAAAGTGGAACTGTACCAAGCTTCCGAAGCAACTTCTTCTCTTCCTTGGAGTAATGGCTGGGGTACCAATCGAAGATGTAGAGCCAAGCCACCCACAGCGACCTTGTCTGCGGCTTGGGCGTCGAAGAGCTCACAACCAGCTCTTGATTATCGAGCGGCTTGGTTGTGGCAACTGGATCCGCATTTCGAGCAGTCCTGTCGAGGCTGACCCTGTCCGCCATGTTGGAGGTGTGCTAACGCTTAGACGGTAGTCAGGTTCCTGTGAGATCGAGAGGCAGTTCAGGTTGTAGTTTGTTGCTAAGGTCAAGAGACCCGAATATGGAAGTCGAGTCGTTTTGAAGTCTCAAGAGCTCAGAGTGAAGTTCTTGGTGATATAACCCCATGCTTTATATCATGGAAAATAAGCCGTCATCCTCAAAAGCTTCGCATCTATGGTGACAGGCTGGAGTAGTCCGCCGACTGTAGAAAGGCCAAGCTATGTTGTCTCTAATGCCCTCCCCGCATTCACTACCCCAGTCTGCGCACGCCCGATTCTGAGGGCGGGGTGTGGGGGAGTTGCTTGCGGTCGATAGCCATACTTAGCCAACGACGCCCGCTCGGGGGATTGTCCTCGGGGACGAGGGGCATCGATACCCCGACTGCTGCGTCGCAAATGGGCCATTCAATTCATGATGCATCGCGAGGATTTTTCACCGAGAGATCAACCGCAGGACCGCTTCAATGGAATATGTGCCTTCGCTTCCGACGGCCCGTCGGAGTTGATTAATTTGCCTCAAGGTTTTGGTGTCTATCAATTACGTGATGGCTCAGGTTTTTGAAAAATGTACAAAATGACAGCTTCGGTATCTGCCACATCTATATACCATAATTTGCGACTCCAGGTTTAGAGCAAAGAAGTATCCAGCATGGACGCTTCTGTTATAGCAAGCTTGCCAGCCAGGGCAAAGCATACTCACTCCCATGATGACGCTAAGGACAGGCCGTCAACGGTTCCTCGTCACGACAGCATTTCCTCCGAAACACCGCTTTCGATATCAACCATACCGTCAAAAGAGCTAAGTCCAGACAGAAACAGCGAAACCTCATGGTCGGATGCGGCGGTAGAAATCAACGAATGGCCAACATTTCAACCATCCATTTCGCTCTCTACTCATCTCACTGAGCTATTCGAAGAAAACATCACAGCCAAGATTTGCCGCACCGCGACCAAGTCCCTCCAAGAGAAGACATCATCAACATCCAACAAGATCCGGAAGACTCCGGTCGTCTTCCCAGAGATCGTACCTCAGGATGGCCCCAATGCGGGCCACTACGAGTTCCGAGATCCAGACTTCTGGACCTGCGGTTTCTTCCCAGGAACGCTGTATGCCCTATTGGAGCGAAGCATCAAGTATCCGCAGACAATGCGACTCGCTGGTGCCGGGCCCGGGGTCAATGTCGCGAGTTTCCGCCAGTATCTGCGGGGGCTATGTAAGGTCTGGGCTGATCCCTTACACGACATGGCCGGCCGGACGGATACGCACGACATCGGCTTCATCATTTTGCCAGCTTTGCAGAGAGACTGGGAGCTGAATGGTAATGAGATAAGTCTCGCTTCCATCGTCAAGGCTGCGTATTCTCTTGCAACTCGGTATGTCCCCGCCGCCGGAGCCATCCGCAGTTGGGACTGCCTGTTGAAGAAGGACATCACTGTGACGGACATGACGACGAATCTTCTCGCGATCGTCGACAGTCTTTGTAATCTGGACCTCTTATTCTACGCCGCAGCACATACAGGCGATGGTACACTCGCCGACATCGCCACCAAGCACGCCCGTACGCTGTTACACACACACCTACGTCCAGAGTCCGTGGGCACACTAGCGAAGAGCGGATACAAAGGTCAGCTCTATTCGACGTGTCACGTCGCCAACATCGATCCTGCCACCGGTGATCTCAAATGGCGCTGGACGGCACAGGGGTATGCGAATGATTCTACCTGGGCCCGCGGCCAGTCGTGGGCGATCCTGGGGTACGCTCAGACCTACCGATGGACTCAAGACAGAGCTTTCCTCGAGGCCGCCTTGGGTACTGCGGAATACTTCCTTTACCACCTCGACACGGCACCGTCGTGCGTGGATACCCCGGTGGCCGACGAGGACACAACACACTGTTGCTCTCGGGATGGGCAGCGAAAGAAGACAAAGGGGCGGAGGGTTCCTCTTTGGGACTTTGATGCCCCGATACAGGACCCCATGGAGCCTCTGCGAGACTCGTCGGCCGGGGTGATTGCTGCCAACGGCATGTTGGTGCTATCACAGGCGCTTAAGGGCATTCAAGAACATGCTTTGGCGCAGCGGTTCTTCGACGCTGCGGTTGAGATCGTTAGAGACACCCTTGACTACTCTCTCGCAGGCGACAAGGCTCAGTTCACCAGAGATAGCAACGAGGCGGGGTGGGAAGTCAAAGACTCCATCTCAGGCAGATGTTTCGAGGGCATCATCAAGCACGGAACGGCCAATAACAATGAGAATGCTAGACGAAGGTACTGGAATCATGGTCTCGTTTATGGAGATTACTATCTTGTCGAATTTGGAAACAGGCTTTTGAACATGGGCTTGGCGTAGAGCATTAGTGTCGGGATTCCGTTGCTAGACCTGGCTTTTTGTGTACTCAATATAGACTCTTTGTTTTTACCACCCTCCACCGTCGTATTCGGTTTCGAAAATACCGTCATCGTAGCTGATGATCCTGTCCATGTCCATGAACTGTTGGTCAAGGAGCATCTGGGATATGTTGCTCAACTCGCCGCTACCAATGCTGCTTCTGGGGTATAGAGAAGGTTGAGCCATTGGCTCAACACCATTCAACCCTAGTCCTGGGAGTGCGAGCATGGCGTTTTGCGGCGGGCTGGAGAATGATGCCGGGTTGTTGGGCGGGAGTTGTTGAGCTTCAACAATAGTGTTGAGGCTGCCTGGAGGCTCAAGCTGTGAATCTGTAAATCGCTTGTTCCGCCCATTGGAAGCAGTCTCCCCCTGCCCGCTACCATTCCGTCTGAGCTGAGGAGATGCCAAAGGTTCTTGAGGAGCCGTATGATCGATTTCGGTGGTGTAGCTTAGAACGTTGATGTTGAAAGACGCATCATCGCGGCAACGGGAATGCATCTCTGTGAGCTTCCTCGAATACTTCCCAGCCAGGTTGTCTCTCGCAGGCTCCAAGCTATGCGGACCAGCCCACCGCGTCGCCATATCGTTCAATATTTGCACCAAGGACCAGAACTCAGAAGCCAGTTCGGTCCCGAGATCATACCTCCAACGGAGAAGGAGGACTCTGGCAGCGACATAGACACAGAATACGAACTGGCTTGAAACAGGCATCGCCGCTGGCGCGTGCTTCAGATAATTCTCCGCAATAATGGCAATCTCCACGGCGGCCGCCTGGCACGTGTCCGCGCTCAGAATACTCGGCAGCCGAGCCCTGAAAGGCCACTCCCTCGGTGGGAAGGCAATTAACTGATGGAGCAGGATCATTGAGGTATTATGGGTGACGTGCGCCAGCGTGAGGTTGGGGTCCATCCGCGTCGACTGCCGCGCCATGTTGGCCTTCCACTTCTGGGGCAGAAGCATCTTCCAATGGACCAGACGCAGGTCGAGCTCCTTGAAGCGGGTGAGCCAGCTGCTTATGTCGCGCTGGTCTCGCATGTTGATCTTCTGCTGGAGAAAGTAGCTCGTGACCCTACTGAGGGACTCGGTCGCCTCGATGCAGTAGGCGAAGGCGCCGACGGTGGACATGTCGATGCTGGCGGCCGGTGCTCCCGGTGACGTTCCGGCGTCGGAGGGCGTGTGGATTTCTTCCTCTGTGGCACCTGTCTGCAATGTCGGCGCGTAGTGGGACGGGATAAAGGCGATAGGGTTCCCGATTCTGCCGGCGGCCTTGTCCCAGATACCGAAATAGGGCGTCACTACTTTGTCTTCTTTGCGCCATAGGACGCCGTCGCAGGGAAGGCGGCAGTGGACGTCGTCCGAGGTGAGACTTGTGTTCCAGCCCATGGTGACTGAGATGAGTCTATCGAGCTTGAAGACGTTCCAAAAGACCCGGCGCCTTTCTTCGGCTTCAGTCCAACTGTCTGGCGAAACAAGCGAGACAAAAGGCCGAGACAGTGATGATCGGTCGGCATCGTCGTGTTCAACGGTCAGTTGGAGATACTCGACGGTTCGCGTTAGTGAACCAACGAGGGACCAGGCTTGTGCGGCCTCGCCACTTCCGATCTGTTGATATTAGCGAATATTAAATGAGGCTGGTGGGCATTGAGACACACACGTCGTTGAATGCGACAATTATGAGAGCTTGATGGCTTTCCACGTTGAAAGTCTTCATCGAGGTCGATACGATCCAGTCTCTAGTCATAGTTCTTTGCTGGTGCGAGCCGAATACGCTGGTTGCAACATCTTCATCTGAGATGTACCTTGACGCAGAGAGGACCATGGCATGTAACACTGCCAACACAAATTTGGCTTCTCCGGGCTCGCGAAGTCGACGGCGGAATCTCGCCTCGTGTATAATCGGGATCCATGGGTGAATGTGTGCGAAATAAGCTTTCAGTACAATCTCCAGGTTTTCCTCATCCGGCAAGGCAGGGAGGCCAGGGCTGTAGCCGCCCGTGAAGGCAATGTTAATCGGCTCTTGATCATCAAGTCGACGCCGCTTGGCTCGTCCTAGTGACTCGATTTCTGCACGTTCTTCGCCAAGTGAGCTTCCGTTTTTAGAGTTGAACTTGTGTAGCTCTTTGGCGAAGAATGCCATTATGGTGTATGCACTATTCTCAAGGCCGCCATTGGTGCCATTGGCACTGTCTTGATTGGGTGAGTGATTTGACTCGGATTGTCTGTGGTCTCTTGACTCATTCTTAGTCCGTTGTTGGTGAACGGTTCTTTCTAAAGCATCTGAGACCTTGTAATCAGTAACAATGAAGCAAGGTTACTCGGCATATCGAGACAAACCCAGTCTCCGATGCAAGTTCTCAATAGCCCCAGCCTTCATCCCCGGCTTGGACCGTTTCGACTCGTAGACACAATCGCTTCCTATCACAAGTCAACTCCTGAAAGAGGAAGGTTCATCATCTGCAGAGTGAAACTAATGACCCACCTGTCTTGCGGCATTGCTGACATGCTGGCACTTGTCGAGAACACCGCAGCTTTCGGCGTCGGCAACAGTTGCAAGCGAGTGCCGCCGCAGCCTCCGACGCGCCCCCCGAGTCATCATGGCCCGCATCGGCGAGTTCGTCGCCCTGGTGGCTCAGCTCAGCACCGTTATCCATAGTCAGGCATTGATCGGGGACAGGAAGCGAGCCCGGGGCTTCTGCGAGTTACGCGTAAAGTAAAGCGGAGGCTGGCATAGTTATGGTTCCACGGCCAATAGGCCGCGCTCCCGCTCGACATAACCCGAAGACCGAGGCGGCCCCGCACCGTCTTCCCCCGCATTGCACATCGGCGGCTGCATGGGGCTGGGGCCGTCCGGGGTTGCGGGGAGAAGGAAGTTGAGAGCGATCAAGGAGAGAAAACCTTCCAACTGAAAAATGCTAAGATTCTCGGCCGAGTGCAATGTAACGTACAAGAGTGGGTGACGCGCGTCGTTCATTTGCCATTTGGGCAATGATGACTGTGAGGCTCCTGTTCAGTCGTAGAACCTCCACTGAGCCTCCGTGTCCGGACCTAATGGCTGGTTCAGGAGAAGCGCTCGAAGCAGCTCGATTGGCATCGTGTTCGCCCTCAAAATTTTATCGTGGAGTTCCTTCTCGCCCATCAACCCTTTTGTCAACACCTCCTCCCGCAAACCGTGCATCTGCAATGCCCCCAGCATGTATCCAGCCTGGTACAGAGGGGAATACTCCCCACCAAAGGATCTCGTGACCTCTCCCTCTGCGTTGGATCGCTCGTGACCGACCCATTCAACCAGCAAGTCAACGCACTCTTGGGGCGTCATCTCGCCGAGGTGGTACTTGAGGGAGAAGATGATTCTCGCGCACCGGTGCATCCGCCAGAAGAGAGTTCCGATCTTGTCTTCGGGGCCCACGAAGAAGTCCCCTCTGTTCCAGAAGACGAACTCCCAGTACATGGCCCAGCCCTCGACAAAGAAGGGCGTCGAGAAGAGCTCGCGGTAGGGATGGTGACGCTTGCCCATGAAAAGCTGCAAACGATGACCGGGAATTAGTTCGTGGCTATGATCACGTTAGCAGTGTATACTAGAGGGGAAAGAAGAGGAAAGACTGACAATGCCGTCGCTCTTGAGAAGTGAGGGTTGTTGCCGCGCATGACCATCATCTTCAGGTCATGATCCATGGCGGCGGTGGGATAAGACACCCAGAAGGAGGGGCCACCGAGGAAGAAGGGCGACTCCTTTTGACGTTCTGCGGAAATCATGAACATACGCCATGTCTCGCCTGGAAGAAGTCAGCTTGTCGTCCCGCCGAGAGAAGCTCATAGGAATACTTGCCCGCGATTTCTGGGACCGTGACTAGGTCGTGCTTCTTCACAAAAGCCATGCCCTCGTAGGCCAGCTGGCGCACCATTTCAGGCTGTTGCCCGGGCTCAACATATGAATTTTTGACATATTCCTGTGCCGCCTTCCAGTTGTCGCCAAAGCCAGTATCTGGAGCCTCCAGACTAGTGAGTGAGGGTTAGTTCATGATCCGGGGCAAAGGGCCAGTCGGCTTTACATACCCCGATACGCTTCCATGACTCCCTTCCGGTCGAACGGAGCACACCTTGATGCTGCGTGAAGCCTTCTTCATCTCCTTTTCGCACCAATCGTACTGTTCTTGCGCCAACTTGAGGAGCTCCTCAGGCGTGTAGGGTATCATTTCCGCTTCGAGCTCGGTGATCAGCCCGGAGCGCCCAATGGGTTCTACTGCAGCACGGATAGACCCGGACCCGTTTTTCTCAACGAGCTTGGCGTCTATCGCCGTTTTGATGCCGGTGAGGGCCTCGTCCAGTTCCTTCTTGGGCGCGTCACACCAGAATGGGAACAGGGGGTCGTAAGGGGCGTAGAATCCGTAAGACTCATCGACGTGGCCTCGGATTTGGTCAATGGTGCTCATAGCACGCGAGAAGGTCGAGTCATTGGCTTTAATTCCGTTGGTTTTAATGGCTTTTGTCGTTGCGATAATCCTCTTGGCCGTCTCATTTAATATCATGGCCGTCTTTTTGCAGTCGACTGGGACCATGTTTTGGCGTGCTTCGCAGATCTCGATGAGCGGCTGGATAAAGGGTAGAACCGGCTTCACCAGCTCGTCTCGCTCGCGATCCAGAAGCAAGACTCGGAGATTACGCCTCAAGTAGTTTCGCAGCAGTAAAAAGTCTACCTTATCCTCCTGGTTGTAGGTATCAAATGGAGCCTTGAATAGACTGTCGAGCTCTTCATTGTAGTATATCTGCAGTCGATGAGACCTTGTGGCTGAGAACTTGATATTGTAAAACTTGTTGAGATTCTTCTCGTCCGTGGTAACACGTGTGATACGCTCCGGCATGGACTCCGGGTTGGCAGTAGTTGCGTGTCGTTCACGGCTGTCGCCCACATCAACCCACTCACCATCCGAGACACTGGCCAGATGAGGCCGCGTTACGAGATGATGTGTGGCCATGGCAATGACGTGTAGCTTGTGTTGCTGTTATAAAGAGAAGCCTGAAGTTGGTGAGGTGCAATACTGAGACGTAGCATCCGGCAGTGATGATTATATGCAAAGAATGCGGGGAAAGCTTCGTCCTTGAAGCAGCGGCCGAGACACGAGGCGTGAACTCCGGACGGGAGGCCGCGGGGTCTTATCTCGGCCCCAGTTGCCGAGTCTTAGGGGAGGGAACGTTGCAGCACGGGCATCATTCTTTCAGTGGGGCCGATAACATCCCTAGTGGGAAGGTGCACTGAAGAGATGCTTTTTGGAGGCAGCGGGTTCCTTGCATCTTGTTTCCCCTCCCTCGCCAACGGTCATGCTAAGCTCATACCCGATTCACACACGATTCATTCGCACTGCGCCAGACTCGTTCATTAAGGATGTTCTTGAGATTACATTATTCAGCTAAGCAATTGATCTTTCTTGTTGTAAGCGAATTTGGTATTAGTCACAAGTGAGTGCGTTGGTATGAACATCAGACTACTCTAGCACTGGCTCTCGACAGCGACAACCTCACTGACACCAGTCTCAATGCCCTCGCCAACGCTCTCGACGCGCACAAACTGAGCCGAACCGGAGAAGGTAGCCCTGGTCTCGAAGCCAGTCTTCTCAACAGAAGTCTTCTCACTCAGCGCATCCTCCGAAGCGCCGGCGAAGACGGTCCACTTGTTGTTCTCCGTCGCGCCGTTCCAGCTCATGTAGACCTCGGTCTGGTTGCCGGCGTCGCAGGCGAAAGCCTTGGGCGCATAGTAGGGCTTGCCAACCCAGGGGTAGCGGTGGTTACGGTAGCTCTGGACGATCTTGTCCTCGCCAAACTGCGCGGTGAAGACGCACTCGCCCTCGGCGTTGAACTCCTTGATCTTGGGCGTGCTGCCGTAGCCGATGACGGTGTGGCCGCTGCCGTCGTTGAGGACCTGGACGTTACCCTGGGAGACGGCAAAGATTGTGTCGTTGGGATCGATGAGCTCCTGCTTGAGGGTGGCCTCCCAGGTGGCGGTGTTGACGGTGAGGAAGATACCCGACGTCTCGTTGACGCCGCTGCGGATACCGCTGTTGTCGTTGTTGAAGAGGGAGATGAGGGCGGTGCCGTTGCCCTCGGCGTGGATGCGGGCGTCGTGCTGGTAGCAGAAGGACAGGCCGTTCTTGAGGGCGAAAGAGCCGCCGGTTTGGCCCTGGGTATTGTTAGCTGAAGTCCGTGTTCAGGCAATGTTAAAGCAGGTACTTACGTTCAGGGTCCACTCAACAGATCCATCCTTGGCGATCTTGAAGATGGAGCAGTAGTGGCGGGAGGAGATGAGGAAACCACCATCAGCGAATCTCTCGATCGAGTTGATATGGAAAGGTCCCCAGGGGTAGGTCTGGTTGAGTCCAAGGTCCTCCAAGGGGTAGGTAGGGGCAGCAGACGCCAGAGAGATCTCGTCCAAGTGGTCCAGGTGGCTCCACTGGAAGAGGATCTCGTTCGTCTTGATGTCGATCTCGAAGAAGAGCGAGTCCACGATCCAGCCATCCACAGGGCCGCCAACGGAAGTGAGGTCCGTCTGGGTAACGTTCACAGCAGGAGCGAACATGGTGCCCTCGGGGGTGATGTAGTCCTCGTGCATATCCAGCCAGCTGCCGCCAGTAAGACCAGACGAGTCCCAGCCGGTGAAGGTCTGGAGGTTCAGGCCGTTGGCGTACTGGTCCAGAGTAACATTGTAGATGTTCTTGTAGGTCTGGTCGTAGATGAAGACAGCTCCGTATCCGAAGCCGTAGGGCTCCGGCATCGTGATTCCTGTGTAGAACGTGAGGACGGGCTCCCCGAAGAGTGTCTGGGCGCGCCATGCGGAAATGTCGCCGTACGGGCCCTCCCAGATGAGCTCGTTCTCATTGCTCATGATGAACACGGAGTAGTTGTGGCCACCGGAGCCGGACTGGTCAAAGAAGAGGTGACCCTCGGCGATGTCACCGGTCTGGGTGATCTTCAGAGACGGGGGCTGCAGAGCGGGCTCTGAGCGGTAGGTCTGCCACGGCCAGGGGTTGCTGGTGCTGTTCTGGGCCGAGGCGGCATGGCTCAGGCCGAGCAAGGCGGTTGCCTTGAGGAGGGAGGTAGAGCGGACCATGGTGACAGTAGGCTTGGGGGTATGGTTGACAGGAAGCGAGGCCTTGAGAAACGGAACAAACCAGACTCAAGGAAAGGAGTCTCGTCGAGGCTTTTGTACTCTGTAGTTCATTTTCAAGGGCATTCGTGTGGTTCCCGACATCGGTCGATTGACTCTGACTTCACATCCGACTTTTTCTTCAACAAACACTACAGGCTGCCCTCGCCCCTGTCATGGATCCAACGTTTTCGACCGTTTTTCTCGCGATCTTGCATGGTGTGTGGGTCTGTTCCGAGAAGTACGCCGGCTGTACCTGAGAGATCATCGTCATGTGTCTCCATCCAAACGGCAATCAAGGATCTGATAAGATGAGATTGATAAAAATCGTCGACAGTAAATTCCCTCAAAGTGCCGGCTTGTGGGGGATCTTCCTATGTTTTTGGTTACATCGGGTCCCGGTCTATAAATCAAAGAACCCACCGTGGAGGCTTCTTTGCTAAAATTTCCACAACCTTGAGGAGTCAGTCCGCAGCGGAATTCGGTGTTCAGTGCCGTTGCAGAATGTGAGATCCGACTTCCGATCATGCCAGTTGCATGTCTGCGAATGACAACATTACTATCGGTACCTTATCTAGACGGACGCCTGAATTCACATAGCGCCATTGCTTCGGAAACTTGACTCGATGCTGTCGAATTCAAGATTAAGGAACGCCTGAGAAATTGAAGTTGAATACCCCAGGATTCTACGAGAGAGTGGGCAACAAATGCTGCTGCCAAGTGAGTGCCAAGCTGAGTCGGACTTTTCCCGACGGGCGGGACGGAAAGCAATTAAGCATGGATATTGGTGGATCCTAGTCCAAGTAACTACTGTGCTACCTTACTAGTCCCGGGACCAAGCTCGTTCTTGGACAGTCAATTCTCGGGGATCGAGGTGGAATGGTGGATTAACGGTCTTCGGTCTCGGTCGCTCACATACCAGCCGACTGCCGGATCCTCTTTCACGATGATTTTGAGCCATATATGCTATCTATGACGGCTGCTGTAGACAAGGAGCACAACTTGAGTATATCTAGGAAGACAATAATACTACAAGCCGAATTTTCGGCCAAAAAGTGGCCAGAAGTACTGCGTCAATGGAGCAGTTTGTGCCAATAGACCATGAAAATTGTTCGAAGCGGGTCATGTTCGAGCATTATCCCACGCTTGAAAGCCAAAGATGTAGCTGAATGGTATGCAAGCTTTTCGCGCACGCATCGAGTATCAGCGACTCAACTCTGATAGTAGTTTGAGCCATGATGGCATCTGCATGTGTTCCAGAATAAGCCATGCAAGGTCAAAAATAAGCTTATCCTCTGTGCTGGGACAACCACATGGCGTGCTTGGTCCACTGTATGGTGCAATGTGAGGCTCGATGCATCCTGGGGTAACGGCATATGCCCATCTGAGCTTTAAAGATGATAAACAACTTGAGTCATGCTCGATTCCGTGTAAGTTGCTGGAAGCATGGCAGTGAATTCCCACTGCTAAAGACCAACCACTTCATGGGTGCTCGGGTGAGGCTTCTTTGCATGAGAAAGGAGCAATAAGTGCGCAAGTAACTACTACATTCAAGTTCCAGGTCGTTCTCTTTTACTGCTACTTTCGAAGCCGCGAGCAAGCATTTACAATGAATCACGTCACGCACAGAGGAAGTACGTTTCAATTTATTGTGCCTGACCACTAATCAATCTTTTAAGTTCTACCGCAACCTGATTTATCACGAGTCTATGAACGTCTCAATTTTCCTAAAAATATCTTAGCATGAGACCGTCCAACCTCTAAGCGATTTTTTCAACATCGAGATCGAAACCGCCATCGCCTCGCATGATGCAACTTTCACCTTCCTTGGCCCAATCAGAATCACGACAAAGCAGAGCAGCAGCCTGACACTGGCACTCCTGTCCAGGCCTACACTTGCCCTCAGCACAGCACGTCCACAAAGCCTCAACATGCGCCTTTCCAGAAGGAGCCATCGACTGTATAGTCGACTTCTTGCCAGTCTTCGAAACGAGCTGAGGTTTTCCCGTGCCAGAGCAGCTGTTGCACTGTACGCGCGAGTTGGTTTCCAGCTCCATGATGTGCTTCGAAGCGACCTGCGAGAGGACAAGCTGGAATTTGTAGTTCTCAAGCAGGTCAGGGCAATTTCTGGGGACGGTGGAACAGACGGGGAGGTCCATGAAAAAGCGGTCGCTGATGTAGTTCAGGTCGAGGGCCGCACCGCAGAGGACGAAGGCTGTTTCGGGGTGGGGGATGAGACGCATCTGAGGCTTTCGTAGGCTGTTGCTGTAGACGTTGGAGCAGTGCTGCTCGCAGCAGACGATGAGAATCTCGACCTTTTGACACATTTTGGCCGTTTGATGGAGTTTGGGCGCTTGTGATGACTGAGGTTTAGTTGATAGTGGTCCTAATAGGAGTGATGATTGAGTATACTGACAGCTCTCGAGATATGCTGATAGTCGAGTGATGGTGATAGTTCGGAACTGTAGACACTTTGATTACAAGAGGGTTTCATTGCTCAACACATTAGGCATACAAGTAAGTAAATCAACCGCCAATGTTGCCTGTTCAGGGGCTCATCTGAAAGAACACGTCAGGCAAAATGACCTCTTGCGGTCAAATAGTCCTTAATCGAGCCGCCTGGAACAATGACATCTCCGAGGAACAACCACACTGGTGTCGGACTCGACGAGAATGATCGAGTATCAGGTCGACATTGGGCGTGTTCTTTGTTGGAACAAGAACTAGATTCAACTTTCCAACCTTGAAAATCCGAAGGGACCCGTATAAGGCCTTGGTTTCTGTCTGAAATCATCGAAGCTCGGGAGCGGGAGAACAGAAGTCGAACATTTGGATAAAGAGGATCAAAATTCTCTGCGCGCAAGATATCAAAGGTATTATGCTCCATCTGCGCGCACCATGATCTAGTGCCTTTCAAGATCAAATAGAAAAATGAACAAAGAGCCTCTCGAGGACCTTTGTAGTGTTTGGCATCTATACTCAATATCACGATTCATCTTCTTCCCGACTTGGCTTTCCACGAACCGTTGCACATTACCTGATAGAATGACTGCAATAACCGCCTGAACGGCTCTATCATCTCTCTGAGTTTTTCCGTCATGTTGATGTGCTCAGATATTTCTTCTAGTTCGTGACTTATCTTTGAACTGAAAAAAGAATGGAGGCTTTGCCATTGAGAGTTACCTTCAAGTTCAGACTTGACAGGGAAGATGTAGTTCACAACTTTTCTCACCGTGCAGAGTCTCCACGCCGCATGGTCTTTGCTAATCCAGCTGTTTTCGTAAGTAGCTAAAACGCGTCTTGAGGGTTGAAGTTGTTGGAGCACCGACCTCTTTGTTGTTGATCTGCCATACGTGCATACCAGCGAATCTATCGTCGGAGATTTGATCGACAGTTAGAAAAGAAATTCCGCAACCGGTCATGTGACATCTTAAAGTTAAGCTCACTCAAGGAGAGCTCGAGCCTGTCATACATGTACTTGCAAGGGGCCCAGGACGTGGTGTCATCATGGCCGCCCAGGCCATGGCCGGTTTTCAAGAGAGTCCCTGGCGAACGGCTATTCTGGTGTCCAAAGGCATGGCGGGCACGGCAGGGACTCTCACTCAACGATGTATGCATGATTTCATTTCATTCTCAAAACAAACGACTGTTGGGACCACTCTGCTTGCTTTTCGTGTTACTGGTACCTGCAGCAAGGAATTAGCATACGAAGCCCCAGCAAATAGGATTGAGGGGACCAACAATACCACTGGAGAAAAAAAAAGCAATGCAAGGATCGAGATCCCGACGCGGGCCACCGCGCCGTAATCGCCCGTTCGAGACCGGCGGACTACCGTCAAGGGGGCGGTGCAGTTTTTACGAACTTGAGGATTATTTTTGGCGCGTCTTAGACTCTTAGTGTGTTGACCTACGTGCCTACCTACGTTTGCATCCAAGGAAGAAAAGCTTTTTTCCCTCATGGAACGATGGATCATTGGAGACCGGAACGGCTGCAACGGCATCTCAATGGGCCCCATTATGAGACTTACCAAACAGCCACAGCATCACAGAGCCGTTGGGATCGGGCGTTTGTTGGATGGCCTTAATGACCGCTAGGGCGGCTTCCGAGATGAGGTGGCGCAAGACTCCCGTCTCAGACCCCGCTTAGCTCCGTCCAGGGGCGTTGTTTGGACCCAGGATCAAGGCAGCCGTTATTGAGAACTCGAAATACTATAAGTCTGCGAGAAAAGGATCTTTTGACAACGAGGAATATTCTGGTTCTCCTTGCTCTCTTCATCCCTAATACCGGCCATCAATCTAGAAGCCTACACTGCCCTCGGGTCATTACATTCGTTCATAATCAACACAGTCGTTTAAGCTGCTCTTACATCGCACCCAGAGCCACTATACCATCTTAATACATATCTACATCAAATCGAAACCACATCAAAATGTCTTTCAGATACATCACCTCCCTCGCCATCATGGCCACCGCCGCCCTGGCCAAGACCGACCTCGCCGGCTGCGTCTCCTCAGACTCCGTCTACACGCCCACCCAGGGCGGCACACCTTACGCAACCCGTGTCTGGTACGTCCCCGGCACCGGCGAGATCTGTGCTGCACTCGACTGCGGCGGCGGCCGCGCCCCTCCCAAGACCACCGTCCCCGGCTGCCCTTCCTACGAGGGCACCGAGACCTACTCGCCCTCCTTCCTGCCCCTGCAGACCAGCGCCGCGGTCGAGGCCTCGACGACCATGGCCGCCATCACCACTGCCGCTCCGGAGACTACCGTCAGCGTCACTGACAGCGCGTCTGTCGCCACCGTCACCGCATCAACAGACTCCGCTGCCGCTGAGAGCGAGACTTCTGCGTCTGCCTCGGCTGTTGTTGTCATTACCTCGAGCGGTTTCAGCAATGCGACCATGACTACCATGACAACCTCTGCTGCGTCGGGATCCGGAAGCCAGTCTGCTCGTAGCACGCGGGCAGTTGGTTCTGCTGCGACATCAGCTGCGACCAGCAGCCCAAACGCTGCCGTTCCTACTGGTGCGTCTCGCGAGCTGTTTGGTCTCGTGGCTGGTGTTGCTATCGGCGCTGCCTTGTTGTAGGGCGTATGAGGATACATGTATATATAGACGTGGCACGAATAGACCTCCACAGCTGATACTGTGAAGCTGGTCATGACTTGAACTTTTAGGACCCAATATCATAATGCTGTAATAGACAATGGATTATTTTTTCATGCTTACATGTGTTCTTCTCTCCTACAATTGCAAAGTGTGTCCTTCTGAGTACCAATGATACCCTACAGTTTGGCCGGAAGAATTCCCCATGCATCCACAGACTTTGGCTCCACTGGCTTTTCTGGTTAATGAGGAAGGCTGGGTAGTCCCTATCCTTGGTAGTCCTTATCAGACTAGGAAGGCAAGACGTTAATGCCAGATGTTCGCAAAAGACGGCGTTAGGGTGAGAGGCGTAGGAAGCTCACCTTTTCCAGTGTTGAGACAGTGACCGTGTTATTGCTGTGTTGCCTGGCAACAAAATCCAACATGGTACTGCGCCCAGAAGCTCAGCCAACGTCCCAGTGTTGGCTGTTATTCAGCAATGGGTGAATAGACGAGTGTCACCAATCAACCCTGTTGGACGAACTCTTGAACGCCTTCGATTCCGCTCTAACGATCAAACACCGACAAAGAAATCTGCGACCTCGGTCTGTATATCCCTAGGCCAGACCTACCACGGAACCTGCATGAAAAACCACAACGTCGGGCCATGAGACCGCCTACACAAATTGATCCTGTCCGTAGCAACGCAAAGCTGCATCATAGTATGGGTCCAGTACGGCGACAGCAGCTGGTAGCCTCCATCTGGATGTTGCCTTGGAACCCACGACTCCCACTCATTGAACTCTCCAGCCCATGCACCTACGTCGCTCTTGCTGTTGTGGCCGATGAACTTTCCCCAACTCTTGTTGAGAAACCCGAAATAGCCTTGCTTCTCGACGCAATACCACATGGTCGCGGGATCGCGCACGCCTTGGAGGTCCATGAGGACTGGCCTGTCATCGACGAGTGTGATGGCTTTGCCAGACTCCTTGTCGATAATGTAGAAGTACTTGCCGGGCCAAGGTATGTCGCTTAATTGATCATCTTTGTCATCATCGCCTGCTAAGGATATTGTTGCAGGTGTCATGATCGGAGTGTGGAACTCTGAACCCGTGTCAGAGCCTGTGTCGTCGGGCTTGGTTTCGGAGGCCATGATTACGGTGGCGAAGGCCTGCACTTCGTGACGACGACGGCGGGCCCAAGAGTCAAAGATGAAGTGAGGCAGGACTCAGGAGTCAACGAATGAGGTGGATGCCGTTGATAATGAATGAGTTGCGGAACGGGGCTTTGATGTGAAGGTGGATTAGCTGTCCGTACATCAATGAGATGAACGTCAATAGAATTGCAGGTGAGGTAAGGTACATGACGTGCCACATGAGTTGATCCGCTGACGGAACGGAATACTGCTGTTGACCCTCATTGGTTGAGCTGTCTCGGTTGCAGTGGGCCAATCGAGTTTAGCTCGCTGAAGACCTACAGCACTTGCAATGTCTTACATTGACAAACTCGTAGGTATTGCTCATTGCTAATTTGTTTTCAGACTCTTATTCTCTAGGAACGACAGAAATTGGGTTGTACAGCGGCCGTTGCCTTCCGGATGTTGCGCTCGTAAGGTCCTTTTCATTCACTGATTGTGGATTCACAGGCCACAATGGAGCCTAGGCGTCAACCAGCTCCCTACGAAAGTACACCCTCTCATATCCATCCTCCGTCTTCCTCTCTATCTCAACGAACCCCATCTTGGGATACAGGATGAGGTTTTCGTACATCTTTACGTTGGTGTACAGCTGCAAAGATGTACATCCGGAAGCTTGAGCCACGTCCTCAGCGCATTTCATCAAGACTCGGCCGTAGCCACGGCCCTGAGCCTCCGGGGCTACGACTAGGTTGTTGATATGCATTGCGCTGGCTGAGGGATCATGGCGAAGGAGAATGGCGCCGACCACTGTGTCATTCTCGTCTTCGCCAAGAATGTAGACCAGTTGCGTCTCGATGAGTTCGTGATAGTCGGCCTTCATGGGCGCTGGTTCTTTGCCGATACGGTCGATGTACTTGGAGTACGCAGCTCTGGTCATGGACTGAATGTGAGGTACATGTTCCGCATTGGCTCTCGAGAGAGTGCAGCCTTCACGAGAAGAGGTTGGTTCGAATTGTTGTTCGGCCATGGCTCAGTATTTATAAACCATTGGATTGGGCTGCAGATCATTCAGTTGACATTTCATCTCGTCGCACGAGATCTTGTCTACAATTAGTCACTCCTGGTGACTCTGACTTGCTGTAGCTGACGACGGGAGGTACATTGCCTAATTGAGCCAATGACGAGATAACGCCGATAGTGGAGAGCTGCGGCCAATCGGAGGGGGCGAAGGGCGATAAGATAACAAATCAGACGAAAAAGTCCGCCGTCGGAGAAATCATTCACGACACCCGTCGCATCCTGACCCGCCGTAGCCACCCAAGCATCACCAAAGTCGCATCTCGAACCTGGTTTTTCACCATCCACGTCAACCACCACCCAGCGAACCCACACCGAAACGTCGCGTCCCAGAGCTCCCATCTTCACGCCAACCATCACACGACCTTTCGATCGCACACGAAATCATTCATAATGGACCACACCCGCGATCCCTGCCCCTGGGTCATCCTCAATGGTAACGTCCTCAGCCGATCACCCTCGACCCCTGGAAGGACAAGGCTAACGATTCTGAAGACTTTGGCGGTGCTTTTGCTATGGGAGGTGAGTAATCTAGCCACTTGCGATTACGGTTATCGATACCCGTCTCGAATCTCGAATCTCGAATCCACCTCGTGTTCGAAACCTCGAGCTCCCGCATCGATAATTATCGCCACGACTCTTGCATTCTGACATTATCTAGCCATCGGTGGAACGGTATGGCACGGTATCAAGGGTTACCGCAACTCGCCCTATGGTAACGACTACCCCTCTGCGCTATCTTAGAGATGGTGATGATTAACAGCGCATCAGGTGAGAGAAGAATCGGTGCCATCTCAGCCATCAAGATGCGTGCTCCCGTACTGGGAGGAAACTTTGGAGGTAAGCATATAGCTCTATGGAGGACTCTTGATCCCATATAAGGCGCTAACACAGTTTTCTTTAGTTTGGGGAGGTCTTTTCTCGTGAGTGACTTCTTCGGCGATTCCCGAAATACCGATCATGCCCCAAGCCATTACAAACTTTCTGGCGACGTTAAGACCTCTTACTGACTGCAATGATGTAAAACAGAACATTCGACTGCTCCGTAAAAAGTATGAACCGCTCCCCCATACCCGTTCAGTCACAGGATACAAGGGAAAAGGGCTAGGCCTCGCACTAGCGAAGGTGATATCGCAATATGGCGCGTCAGCTTGAGCTAGCATTTCAAGGCTCCAGGCCCGGAAACTGCAAACATCATATTCAGAGCTTTGGAGACGGAGTAGAAGGCGCTGTACTTTGGCCCTAATGCTCTCCAAGGCCTTGATCATGGGATTCTGGGTCGGCTTGATCGAGCACTTGTTTAGACGACAGCTTGCTCGTTGCCTCCTAGCCAGAGCAGGGCCAGCAATTTCCCTCTGTATTCTGTGACACGGAAATCCGATGTATCAGACGCTAACATTCTATGCTTAGGTCTTCGTGGACACAAGGAGGACCCTTGGAACAGTATCGCAGCTGGTTTCCTCACAGGTGGTGCGCTAGCCATCCGTGGAGGATACAAGGTAAGGCTACTTGTCCATCTGGTCTATTGCCGCAAATTGCTAACATACTGGCTCGCAAGGCCGCCCGAAATGGCGCCATTGGTTGCGCGCTGCTCCTTGCCGTCATCGAGGGTGTCGGTATTGGTTTCCAGAAGATGTTCGCGGGTAGCACAAAGCTGGAGGTGAGTTGAAACAGTCGCGAGCGCTTGACTGGCAAAGTGAGACTGACAATTTGCTTGGTAGATGCCCGCGCCTCCTCCTTCCGACGAGAGGGCTCTTGCATAAACGATCGACCCTTCGCGAAGCATCAATTTTACCGACGAACGGCGGGTGAATCGAGGCGACCGCCTTGCCAACAAGAAGAATAACTCGGACCCCTCTCTACTCCAACGCTCGAAGCCTGTTTTTTGTCCTTTTGACGAGGGCTCGACAAATTTGTTTTCCACATCATAAGGGAGCGAAGCAATTCGATCCCAATTTTTCTGTAATCCATTGAAAAAATCGCAACATCGGAGAGGGTGGCGTTACATGTAGAATAGGGGCCAAAAGTTTGCTACCAGTCACCGGAGACTGGAGACAAGGGGCTGGACGGCCATCTTGATCTCTGAAGGGATCTTTAACCCACAGACGAACGGCGCGCGGGAATGCTGTCGTCTTGGCGGCAGGTCAGGGACAGAGAGTCTGACTGCGTTTGTCCTTGACGCGGCTGGGGTTTGGATCCGAGGAGAGAGACAGTCTCTTCTCCCATTTTTTGACACGTATACTGAATCTGTGTGGGATAGAGGTGTCCATAATTGTACCATCAACTCGCTGATTTCTTCTCATCTCTTGGTCTTATTCCACTTGATCATCTCCCGAAATCTAAGTCTACGTTCCGCGTCCCCCCGAGCTCACCACTTCTCAGAGTACTCCCTCACATCAACCCCCTCAACACCATCGCGATAGATCTTGGCATACGCCTTGCCATCATCGTCAATCCAAGCCCTGTACATTCCATTGCAGTTGAAATCCTGCAGAACCTCCGACCTCACACCCACAACGTTCCCCTCCTCGTCCCTCGTAACCGCAACCTCGATCCCAATGATGCCGCCCTCGCCCTCGCCGGTAACCTTCCACCGCGGACCCGCACTACGCTGCAACTCACCGCCCGGGCCAGAAACGAACGACACGGCGTCAGCCCCGGAAATCGGCTTCCACCGCGCCACGGCGCCGACGGTCCGGCCTGCCGCAACGCGCATGAAGGAATCTCCGTTACCCGTCCCGGAGGCTGCAATCGCCCGCGTGGTTTTCAGTCCCTCACGAAACCCAGCTACGCCGCTCGGCAAAGGGGAATAAGTTTTCAGCGAGGGAAGGCAATCAGCCATTAACCCCTTCAAACCCTCACTCAACACAAGGAACCCATCTCCACCAAAACCAGCACCACCAGCAGCGCGGGCAAACGCCCCCGTCGGATCCCCCTCCTCAACCCACTCCTCAGCCCAAAACCCGGCCCCGACGACAGGTGTATCCCCAATCCGGCCCGTCAACTTATTCGTCAGCCCGCCCGTACTCGTAGCAACGCACACGACGCCCTCTTCATCCAGCGCCACGGCGCCGACGGTGCCTTGCGGGAGGAACTCTGTCGTGCTGTACGTGCTCAACCCCTGGCCTGCCTTCTCCCGCTCGAGGGCGCGGATGTGTTCATCCCACCGCCGCTGGGTGAAGAAGTACTCCGTGGAGACGAGGTCCAACCCGTACTTCTTCGCGAGGGTCTCGGCTGTGGCGCCGTGGAGAAGGGTGTGTCCCTGTGCTGAGGGGGCGTCGATCTCAGAAGCAGGAATAGCAGTACTATTGATGGAAGAGGGATGGCTACTCTCCGGATTGCCGCCCAGATCCTCATCTCCGTGCTCCAAAATCGCTTTGGCGAGTAAAATGGGGTTCCGGACATGTTGCAGCCCCGTGACGCCTACGCCGCACTTCGCGAAGCCGCGGGAGACCATCACGGAGGCCTCAAGCTCGTTGATGCCGTCGCGAGTGAAGACTGCGCCGTGGCCGCTGTTGAAAAGGGGGTTGTTTTCTAGAAGGGTGACGGCGTGGGTTGCTGTTTCTAGGGCCGAAGGGAGGGCGCCGGTGGTGGTGTTTGTGCTTGTGAGGGATGGTGTGTTTTGGTAGGCGTTTGTTTTGCTGACCTGTATGCGTGTGAGTTACAGGTGTGAGGGAGTTGAAGTGCTGTTGATGAGAGTCTTGAGGGGATGTCTCGATGTGGTTCTCGGGCAGTGAAGGCGAGGGGAGGTGAGTTGATTGATGGTTCTTGAACTTACAATCGTCAACAAGGCGTGGCGGTACTCTGCATACTCTGGCGGCTGCAGATTCGACGGCTTGATATTGCCCGCTCCGCCGTGGATGATGAGGCGCGGCTTCACCTTGACGGCGGCCGGAGACTGACGCTTGTACTCCATCTTCTGTCTCACTGGTTTGTCCTTGACGATCTCTTGAATCCAAAGCCGATGAGTTACAACGCGGCAAGCCCGATAAACTACCTCGTGCAAGTATTTCGTATCAGATATTTTGCAATGCAAGCAAATCAAGTTGGTGTACGGAAGTCGTCTCAAGTGAGACGTAAGGTGGTAGAGAGAGTCGTGGTTGAATGATAAGATAAGACTGTCCGAACCGGCAAGCCGAATTGGGAAGCTCAACGGCCGACGCTCGGCTTCAGCTTGCCGATGGTCGGATCACGTCAACGGAGGGGTTGGAAGTGCCATCTTTGCAATATTAAAAATACGAGTCAGGCACAAAAGTAAGCAGCGGCACTTTCACCAGATGCATCACAGGTAAACGAGACAAGCTTTAAGAATGCATTGATTTTTGGGGTATCCCTCTACTTTTCTTTCTCTTTTTGTACAATGTACCGTTGGACGTGCCGCTGCCCAATTCCCATAACGCCTTCTAAACTATACCTTTCTGGATAATACCCAGATGGTCTCTCCATCTACAAACGAGCAAACACGGACCCGATAATTTCCCGGCTCTTGAGGAGGTTCAGGACTCTCAACCGCTCATTGTCCAAGTGCGCTGAATCTGACGACTGTCCGCAAGGCAAATGCGCGGCCGGTGCGCCAAATTCCTTCTCGAGGAACCTGATTGCGGGAATAGAGCCGCCCTCGCGAATGTACAGGGGCTTCTTGGGCTTCTGCGTATTCGTATCCGCCGTCTCTACCGGCTCGGCCCCGGCACTGCCGCCCGCGGCCTCTCCGCCCTCAAAGACGGACGACCAAGACTGCATGATGGCCTCCTCGAGCGTCTGGAAGATGGCGTTCGTGGGATCACCCAGCCACGGCTCGGCCTTGTTGTCAATCTTGATGGACAGCGAGTTCTTGGACTCGAGGTGCGCGAACTCGCTCTCGAGATACGAGCCCAGTGAGGCGATGACGTCGTTGACCTCCTGGCCCGGCACCAGACGCAAGCTGATGTTAGCACTCGCGTGGCTGCTGACCAGGCTGCCGTCCGGTCCTGATACCTTATACCGGTGGATCGTCAAGTTGGGTTCCCTCCAGCGCGCCATCAGCGCCGCCTTGAGCTTGTCGGCAGGCCCCTTTTCTGGGTTCTGTCGCATGAGCGTTGACGCAATGTCATCGTAGCGCGTCTCCTCCTCGGCCGTAACTGGGAGGATGTCGTCGTAGAAGCCGGGGATGAGCACCTTGTTGCCGGGCCCTTTAAGCTTTGAAAGCGTAGAGGTAAGGTCCGACAGGGGTTCGTCATTCATGTAGGAGCCGTCTACACCAGAATGCTGGTCGGGCAAATGTGAGTCAACGCAGACAGTGGCGTGCAGGACACCGCGCAGACCGTAGGTCAGGCAGGGGACCTCATCGTCGAGCCAGTAACTGTTGGCAAGCAGGATGTAGTCGACGTCGCCGATGAGGTCCTTGTTCTTGCGAACAATTTCCCTGAACCCGCGAGAAGCCGATTCTTCCTCTCCCTCGATCAAGAAGATCACGTCGTTGGCAAGCTTCTTGGCTTGCAGCAAGTCCGTCACAGCGAACAACGCAGCCATAATCGGGCCCTTGTTGTCACTGACGCCTCTGCCGTAGAGATATCCGTTGACACCCTTCATCTGAAACGGATCCGTCTCCCACTTGCCCTTCTTGGTATCTGCCGGGACGACATCGTAATGGCCGTAAAACAGAATCTTCTTCCGCTTCTCAGCCGGCTCCAAAACACCGTCAAACTTGGCAAGGACAACGGGATTATGGGGACTGCTTTCCGTGCTCAGCATCTCGACATGACCGCCAAGCCTCTTGAACAAGGATCCGAGAAACGTTGCACCTCTTCGGCAATCCTCTGCGAATTCTGGGCGTGATGACACTGTCCGGTAGGACACAAACTCTCCAAGAGTCTTGATCATGACATCGTTGGCTTCCTCCACCTCCCTTTGTTGATCCTCGTACTGTGAGCAGTCAATATGCCAGATGGCAACATCGTTGTCGTTGGCACCGGTAATGTAGTACTGTCTGTTGTTGTATGTTGTTACTGCTGATGATAGGACCTTGCCTTCATGGGCCTTCCAGCGCGCCACGCACTGGTACTTTTGGCTAATGTTCGCGACCTGCTTGTCTTGGTACTTACCGTAGTGGGCAGTAGTGTGTTTCTAAGCGTTGTCAGCCATGAAAGAATTGAGAAGACCAGAGAACTTACACTCGCAGAACCAGAGCGAGAGGCACTTAAGAGATAGCCCCAACCCATCTGTAATGTCATCACATCGCCTCTGTGACTCTTAATCACTCGCAACTTGGATTTGGTGTCCAAGTCCCACAGCTCAATAACTCCTTGCAGCTTGCCAGCATACAGGAAAGACCCGTCAATCGCAAGAGACATGACTGATTCTGCATCGTCGGCGCCAAGTGACATCAGTTCTTGAAGGCCGGGTTCGCGCTCGTTTTCAGCCGCCTGATCATCCCCTTCAGCACCAAGCTTCCACAACTTGATGGTACCGTCTCCGCCGCCCGAGATGAGCACCTCCTCGTCAGGCTCCACAAGCACCGTCGGGCCCTTGGCCATGAGCATCGAGTAGACGTAGCCATAGTGGGCAAACATCTGTAGAGCCCCCGGATGAATTTCCACCACTTTTTCAGATCGCGGGATCAACGTCCACCTCTCATCGTTACGGCGTGGCGTCGTGGTTCCTCCCACAGCTCGCGAGTCGAAGAACCTATGATTCCGACGGTCGGGATGTTGTGAAGATTCATGGGTGGTACGGTTATTCGGATCGGTGAGGCTGACCCATTGTATCGAGGTGTTTTGCGCGCCAACGTACACCGTCTCGCGCTGGGCGCTGTAGGCCACGGAAAAGATGTCGCCAACGTCGTAGGTGCTATAAATCTCGTACAGCCGCTTCATCGTCTTGGGGCACCAGACGTTTATGAGAGGGTCTCCGGCGCTCGAGAACAGCATTGAGCCGTCGGGGGTGAGGAACAGGCTCAGCACGCTGTTCTTGTGCGCCTGGACGATGCGCTCCTGGTGGAAGGTGGCCAGCGACCACACGACGATCTCGCCATCCTGGGTGCCGGCGTATATGCGATCGTTCTCGGAGCTGACGGCGAGGGCGAGGACGGAGCTGTCGTGCTTGAGGTTGTGGAGGAGTTCGGGGGCGACTTGGGGGCAGTCGTCCGTATCGCTCAGGTTCGTGGAGAGGTCGGAGGCCGCAATGGCGGACGGCATTGTGTCTTCTGTCGCGCGGGGAGGGCGGAAGCTTGTCAGCGGTGATGTTTGGGAGAAAGAATACGACGGTCGACCCAACGGTGAGAAAGGAATGGGCCGATCGAGTTTGAAGGGAAAGGAAGAGTCAAGTGGCGTGTTGAGACAGAAAGCAAGAAGTAGTGAACGTTAGGCTGTGACGCATTTCCCAAGATGAATCGGCCAAATTGGCTGCGAACTCGCAACGAAAATGGCGAATGACGAAATGCGCTAAAGGGGAGTCACTCCGCCCACCATCCCCCCAGTGGAGCGTGGATCCCCCCCGTAGGGGACCTCTCCCTTAGGGGTGGGACGCTGTGGACGTCCCAAGAATTTGGGCTGAGTGGATCGTCCCTAGGTGCAGTTCTTGCCAGCCCAAGTGCTCTAGCTCCCGTAGCTACAAGGTCCACTGCTGCTTTCTCAGGGGAACTACAGGGACCAATGTGACACGAATTGTCACTTTGAAGCATCAACGTCTCGTGACACCTGTCCTTGTTTGAACTTTACTCAAAGCCTAGCAATGAAATTGATCAAGTTACGAAAAGAGACAGAGAGAACTCACCATCTTCGTATTCTTCAGAAGACTCAGAGCCAACCGATAGCTCAACTAGGTCCCGGTGAATCTTCCGGCACCCCTCGCAGTCGTCCTCGCCTGGAGCGTGGTGCTCCCCCGACTTATATACCACAGCCATCTAGATCCTCGAGATCGTTGTGGTTATGTCCGCAATCCTGACTCGGGGTCTCCGTAGCTAGGGGCGCAAATATATCCGTAGATGTGCTGAATCGACTTCGATCCTGGGGTAACTCGCTCCAAGCCAAAGGTGGGGAGGGTTTTTCTCTATTTGTACGGACGTCCTGATGGCTTTGACTCTCTCACCGCTTCATGACGCAACATTGGAGGGGATGGTATCATACGCCCGTGATAAACAGAGACGGAACTGCAAAACTTTGGTATGATTAGGTATGATTCAGTTGAAGGAAACGAGATTAAGGAAAGCGGGCGGCCATGACCTTAAGCGTCAAGGAAGAAGTGTCCGCAGGGCCGAGATCGGTTGCGTGATTTCACATTTCACAACTTCCATTGGTACGAAGACAAATGTCGGGCGCCAAGCCCTTATTCTCGCCTGGATCTCTATTCGTACAGTACGGACGTGGAGTCTGTCCGCTTCGGCATCCATTTCAAGCCATCCACGATCCTCCTCAGCTAGGTGTCACTCCTCAGCTAGTGACACCTAGCTGAGACAGCCCGGGATGCTCGCCGACCTCCCTATGAGCCTGTGAGATATGGTAGAGGGCCTCAACAGTGGACAGCGGCGCAGCTCACCGCAAGATTGGTATCCAAATGTGCCAGCATAGCAGCACCAGAGTGACCAGACGGGCAGACCCCAATCCACTTCCAGGGTGCGCGTGGTGATCTTCCGAAGCCGCGGCCCCCAGCAATCTGCATTCTGTCCTATTGGAGGGCACCACGCTCCCGGCGACGAAAACGGAGCACCGGTGAACGGCCAAGTCTGTCCAAGAAGGGACACGGACCGGCAAGGGTGTTATCGAAGCATCTGTCCGTTGGATTCACCCGATAGGTCTCTCTTCTCACACATAGCCACATACAACCTGCAGATCCGTCGGGTAGGGAGTCTGCCGTAAGCCGTGTATCATTGTTTGGTTGAATCAGACGGCGGACAAGATATCACTGCACAAACAATTCTACCTGGGTTGAGGTGGTGGAGCAGTAGCTGAGTATGGGTCTCAAACTTTCGCCTTACTCCCTAAAGTTTTCACCATCGATCATCTACCCAGGGAATGCAAGGGAATCTTGGGGCATTGCGAAACCCGTCTTGTTCACAGTAGACCGGGAAGAAACAGCGGCGGCGCTGGCTTGAACAGACATGAAGGCTCCGAACGTGTTTCCTTGGGCAAGTAAGACTGAGATACTTTACGCTACGACCTTCAGCAACTGAACGGGAGGTAGCCAGCTGGAAGCCTACTACAGTAGTGGCCAATGATAGAGCTGCATGATGACTGTCATCCGTCTCCAGGCTGACCAGCAGGATTGATATATTTCACCCACCAACTTCTTCCGGAAGACAAAGCCACGAAATCCAAGCGTCCCCTGGAAAATCGTCCTCAGTTTGCACAAAGTCATCAAAAAGCTGAGTTAAGAACCTGGAGACTTGCACACGTTGTCTTGAGACTGTCCAGTCACCGCCATGAGCACCACACCACCCAAGAAGAGCAGGATCATCCGCCCTTTAACGAGGGAACAGTCGACATGCGAAGCAACAATCTTCCTTGCGGGCACAACAAGCAAGAAGGATTGGCGCAAGGATCTCGCAGACTCACTGTCCCATCTGCCGGTGGTCATATTCGACCCCTTCCGACCAGACTGGGACAGCACCTGGAAGGAAGACATCTCGGACGAGAGGTTCAGCAGTCAAGTCAAGTGGGAGCTGGACATGCAGGAGAGGGCCGACATCATTGTGGTCTACTTTGAACCAGAGACAGAAGGCCACATTAGCTTGCTCGAGTTGGGCCTCTGTGCTCACTCGGGGAGCAGGGTCATCGTCGCTTGTCCTGAAGGATACAAGAAGAGGGGCAATGTTCAAGTCGTCTGTTCGAGATACAAGATTCCGCTTGTTGAAAGCTACGAGGCTCTTTGCAAAGAGCTTATACAAGGACTGGCGCGAATCGGTGTCAAGGCTTGATGAAAATGGCCTTGCTCTTTTGCGGATCTCTACTTCATGCCGTAATTAATGTTTGGCCTGGATGATTCAGGATCGGGGGAGAGGCTGCTGTTCATGTGCGAAACGCTCCGTAGACACGGCTCTGTTAAGTCCGACGACGTTCGACCCGCTTTCTCCCACATGCCGGGCCGAGAGTATTTCCTTTTGATGAGTCCCGCTCCAGACTCGATTTGCGCTTGATAACCCCACTTGCCTAATCCGACATGGTTCGCAGGCCCTCCAAACACCCAGAGCTTCGAGGGCAACTCCTTCGTAAACCAACCTCGTGCATCTGCTCCAAATATCTTAGCTTCCCTTGCTGTAGCTTCCTACCAACGACCTCTCCTTCATACCTTTTTGTCTAGTATAATTGTTAGAACATATTTCTGTTAAAATGGACGACCAATTCGGAGGCCGCACAGACGACGACCTCTTCTTTGACGACTTTGAGCCCGTTAGCAATCCCCAGACAGTCGAAACTGTTGTCGCCCCTCATCCTCCACCCCCTCCTCCCGCAGCTGTCGCGACGCCACCAGTCGAGCCTCCGAAACCCGCAACTGCGCCCGCGCCTCTTGCGCCCAAATCCGTAGAGCAGCAGCAGCAGCAGCAGAAGCCGCAAAAGCAAGCCCCAGCCAACAAGAAACCGCCAACGGCGCCGAGGGGTGGTCTCGCAAACTCCAGGTTCGCCGACCCGAAGCCAGCCCCTGCTGCCCCGCGCGCCCCTCGTCAGCCAGCCTCCCCGGCCGCCGCCGTTTCGACTCCCTCTCCGATCGCGACCGCAACCACTCCTAAGCCGCCGACCGGTCCCGCGGCGCAATACTCATCTGCTCCCGCTGCTGCACCGACTGCTCCCGCCGCGGATACCGCTGCTGCCGCCGCCACGGTCGCTACCCAAGACGACGCCGCCTCGCCAAAGAGCAACTCCCCCGCGCCAGCAACAGCACCTCATGCGCCCCGCGAAAAGAACGCCGCCGCCGCCGCCCCCGGTGCAAACACAGCCCTCAACGCCGAAGCCCGCCTCGGCTCAGGCGCGAACCCGCGCACAAAGCTGAGCGAATCCCAGCTCGCCGCGAAGATGGAACAGATGCGCATCCTCAACGCCGAAAAGACGCGCAAGTTCGAACAGGCGGAGCAAGACGAGCGCAGTCACGCGGAAGCCTACGCGCGCGGCATGGAGGAGGCGCGGCAGCGCAAAAAGGTTGACGAGGAGAGGCGGCGGCGCGGCGAGGAGGAGCGCCGGCGCATGGATGACGAGAGGGCCAAGAATCGCGAGAGGAAGCTCAAGGCGATGAGTATCAAGGAGGGCGGCTGGGATGAGGGCAAGGAGGCGCTTGCTGCCGAGGAGGAGAGAAGGGGGTTCCGCGGGGCGAATGGTGGGGTTCGGGGGACGAGGTCTGCGGGGCTTGCGGGGAGTCGGTTTGCTTCGCGGGAGGATGAGGCGTCACAGGGTGATCGGTATGCCGGTGGTGAGGAGCGTAGGGGTGGAAGGGCCCGTGGTAGAGGTCGTGGCCAAGGGCGGGGTGGGCGCGGCGGTCGGGGCGGGTATGGGAATGACCACGAACGGGGGGATTCAAATGGTGCTCGCGAAGCCAAGGCACCTGTCGCCCAGGCTCCCGCGGCGGCACCCGTCATCAGCACCGAGGAGTTCCCTGCCCTGCCTGGCAAGGCTACGGGCGGTGATATTTCGCCTCCTGTGTTGTCGCCTCTGGGCAGATGGGACGACGAGATGGAGGCATTTGACGAGAAGCTCAAGAGCGCCGCCGCGCAGTCTTCTTCGTGAGGACTTTGCCTGAGCTAACGGTAAATTTTCGTGACTAGGAACAGCATAACGAGTTGGATCACCAAAAACACAGCGACGACACTTTTTTTTGGATACGCCACGAAGGGGGGATGACGAGGAATTGGAGTGCATTATAGTTCGCTTCTAAGCATGATTCCTTGTTAAGCGGGCACCCAGGTTGCGACTCTCGTGTTTAGTAGGTACCGTTACGAGCGTAAATACAGAATGCCGTCCGGGACTACCGAACTTCGCCATCTATGTGCCCTTTAATTGGATCATTCGCACCGTTGAGACCATATTCTGATTATCATGCTGTCGCCGACTGGATCAGTTGTGATAGTAGGCCTAGAAGACTTAGTATGAAGTAAATCGACCTCCAGTGGCATCGTCACCCACGTTTTACATCCTGTAGGTATCATGCTGAACGTTTGTCTGTTTGTTTGTTTGTTTGGGTTCGACAAGTTTGACTCGTGGATCGATGAGTGTTGGCGTCCGGTCTTGGCAATACTCATTCATATTCCAAGCGCTCTGGGTATTTTGTCGCTCTTCTCCGAGATCTGCCGGAGAGCGTCGACCTGATCTCCAAGATCCGATTATCGCCCAACAATTCTTCAGTCTCTGGTTTGGGTTGAGTTGCAATCTTCTTCAACTCTTTCTGCTTCCCCGGATACGCCTACCATCCACCGCCACCGCCACCGCGGTATCCCCTGCCACCCCGTCCGCGGTACCCTCCACCGCTTCGAGGACCTCTGGGGCCGCCGGGTCCCATGCTATCGTCATCCATCGGTTGCCGTTGGCGGTGGCGCATCTCCTTGGGGAACGCGTCAAAGGTCTTGCGCATCTGGGCGTAGCCGAGATGCATCTTTCCGTAAAAGTGATCCGCTAGGCGGCGGTCGTTATCCAGCCTGCTGAGGTAGGCGCCGCAAACATCGCAAACTTGCAGCTTCTGGTGACCAGACGGGCCTGAGGTGTCTGACAGGGCCTTGAGCTCCTTCTCGCGGTCCAGTTTTGTTTGCTGTGCTTGGCGTACTCGGTAGAATTCGTCGATCGCGCGAGATACTTCGGCCATTTCACCAAGGATTTCGACTTCGAGGGTACCGTTGTGGATTGTGGAGGAGAGTTCGGCGATGCTTTTGAGCTGTCATTTGGTTAGCTACAAGTTACAGAATAATGCGGGGGAATGCTGAGGCCGTACCAAGGCATTTGTTTGACGGATCTCGTCGGGCGTCTTCTCTAGCCTGCGCTGCGCAGAGTCTATCCTCCGGTTGCAATCGTCGATGTACTTTTGAAGGTCGCGCATGTAGTCGTACTCAAAGCCGTACTTTTGCTTCTCCTTATCTGACAGTCCTTCGTACTCCGCCTTCAGTGCTTCAGAGTGTTGCTTTGGGCAAGGACCGAGATCTTGCTTAGTATTCGTGAACAAATCGTGAGGGCATGTGCCGACGAGGAAAGATCTGCAGACCTTGGGGTCTGTCATGGAGAGCGAGGCTGCCCGGGTGCTAGCCGAGCCGCCCATGAGCTGCTCCAGCAGCTTTCTCTGTTCTGCGGCCATTGTACGTGATGCTCGGAAGTATGTGTTATGATTCGTATCGTGTCGTCTATCGTTCTTGGAATTATGTTTCGTGGGCGGGTCAATTGGGTATCTTGAAGAATGGAGTGTAAGGAAATTCGCAAAGTTCTGGGGAGGAAAGCGTGTCGCGCGGGATGAACCATGGGCGGAATGTGGAGAGCTGCAAAAGGTACTTTCCCCAAGGTGTGGTTACATAAGAGGGATTCTGCCGGACTCCACCGCCTCGGCATCCCTCCAAACGACCACCTACACGACCTCACCTACAACGGTACTACCTGCGCCGCAGTGTAGGGGAGAGAACGCAGCAGACGCGAATCTCGTTCTTTTGCGCTGCGACACTCTCTCTATGATGCGCCATCTTCTGGCGGCCGTTCTTTTCTCTTGCCTGGCCTCCTTTGGCCTGGCTGCGGATTACCACGAGCAGTTGAACCTCCGCCCGCTGCCCCTGTCCGCCCTCCTTGCGAGCTTCAACTTCCGATCCAATACGTCGCTATCCGATTTCGACTTGCAAAACTTCCGATACTTTCCCCGCTCACTGGGACAAATATTACAGTATGCTGGGACGAGAGAGCTTCATTTGAGATTCAGTTTGGGAAGATGGGATGCTGAGAGCTGGGGAAGTCGACCTTGGGATGGTCAGCGCGAGGGCGGGACGGGTGTGGAGCTCTGGGCGTGGCTTGAGGCTGAGACGGACGAAGAGTAAGTCACTCATGTCGCAATGCAGTTGAATTATACTAACACATATATAGGGCCGATCAGAAGTGGTTGACTCTTACCAATGCTCTTTCAGGACTCTTCTGCGCATCGCTCAACTTCGTCGACGGAACCCGAACCACCAGACCGGTCATGTCATTCCAACCCGAGGGTGACCACCCCGAAGCGTCCATCCCCAACATGCAGCTCCTACACGGTGTTCTGCCGAAAGAGGTGGTGTGCACGGAGAACCTGACGCCCTTCTTGAAGCTGCTTCCTTGCAAGGGAAAGGCGGGAATCTCGAGTCTGCTGGACGGCCACAAGCTCTTCGATTCCTCCTTCCAAAGCATGGCCATCGATATTAAGCCTGTCTGCCCCGAGGGCCAGGAGTGTATCCTGCAAATTGAGCAGACTATCGATATGGTTCTCGATATTGACCGATCCAAGCGACCGAGAGATAACCCGATTCCCCGTCCACCCCCTGGACACGAGCTTAAGTGTGATACCTCTAAGCCTTACCACAACGACGAAACATGTTATCCTACCGGTCTTACCACTGGCCAGGAATGGACTTTGTCCCAGATCTTCGGAAAGTCAATCAAGGGTACCTGCCCTCTGACGGACGAAGACGTACCGCCGGTCTGTATCGAGGTTCCTCACACCCGAGGTGTGTACACGTCTGGCGGAGCTACGGAGATCTTGAACCCAAATGGAGCATCGCGCTGCTTCAAGATTGGTGCAGAGTCAGAGCTGGAAATTGTTCTACCTCTGGAAGGTGAGGAGGGTCAGGACCCCACGAAAGAACTGGTCGAACCGCCCACTCCTCTCATCTATGCCGAGCGCAGTTTCACTGGACACGGACAGGAGCATGGTGGTATGCAGGCCATTCTCACGAACCCAAGCAAGGACACAGAGGTTGAGTTCATCTACATGGAGTCGCTTCCCTGGTTTATGCGAGTTTATCTCCATACTCTTAATGCGCGCATTGAGGGATCATCGGGCTCGCAGCCGTCAATCGTCGAGGACATTTACTACCGTCCCGCCGTCGACCGTGCAAGAGGCACACAGCTCGAGCTACGGATGCGTATCCCTCCTGCTTCTACAGTCTTCCTCACCTACGACTTTGAAAAGTCAATTCTTCGGTATACAGAATACCCGCCGGACGCGAATCGTGGCTTTGACATCGCCGCGGCGGTCATTACTACTCTCAGCCCCCGTACGCAAAGTACACGCACCACCACGCTGCTACTGAATCTGCCCACACCAGACTTCAGCATGCCTTACAATGTCATCATCTTCACCTCGACGGCGATCGCACTCGCCTTCGGCGGCATGTATAATATCCTAGTTCGGAGATTGGTCGGCGCCGACGAAGGCCCCAGTCCAGTGCTCAAGGCCAAACTAGCTGGTCTCTTGGCGAAGCTCAAGGGCATTCGGTCAGCCAAGAAATAGAGAAATGTGTTTGTATTATCCGTTCCGATGTTCGGCTTTGTCAATGTTCCGTTGACGTAGACGCGTGTTCCGCACCGATTGCTATCCGAGCCCACAGTCTGTTTGCCATTGTATCCGATCCGAATCCGTCTGCCACGAGGTTTGCCATACGGGAGTTTGACATGATTCAGGGGCTGTGGAACGGCCTCTTCCCGTCGTGCAACGCAAATTACGCCATCTCTATCGTCTGACAGACGTTCCCAATCTGCTGTCATGTCCTTCGGCCGCAGAGTAGCAGGAACCTGAACGGGTGAAACGATGCATTGGCGTCTTCAATTGATCTTTTGTGACCCTACCGTATCCTATTGATTATACTCGTCGGTATCGTGTCACCAGGAATTGCAGGATCTTCCTTACTGCCTTCGGCCCTATCTGCAAACTCGTCAACGACCTCGCCTTACTATCCGTAAGTCCCTACTGGCGTCCGACTTCACCACCTCGATGAGGTGCAGTCTACTGATGTCTATTCTAACGAGCGTCCTTGTGCTGTATCAGAATCTCACTGCCACTCGTCACTGCCTGTTCCACACGAATGCCGTGAACATGGCAGTTGATGCAGGTAGCCAAGAGCTGCCAGCCTGTCCGTCACGGCGAACGGCATGCGAACGAGATCTGTCTGCCTGTGTGCCTTGTGAATGGCAGATCATCTGATTACGCCCATTTTCCCACTGCCGGTGATCGACTTCGAGCGTCGAGATGTAGCCTGATAACCGTAGGTACTTCTCAATCTCGCGACTGTCCCTGCGAAATACGCAAGCTTCACCGCTGGGTCAGACTTTCAAAGCCTCTTCTCAAGCTATAATGTGCCCATCATCGCATCCATCGCCCTGGGGAGAAGCGGTGTCCGAAGACCTGTTTGTGACATGAACGGGTATATATGTTTGTTTCCATTATGGATCTTGAGCGAGGTGAGTATGCAAGTGTCCTTGCGCCCAGCATCTTACATGGGTCTGATGGGTCAGTCTACTCTTCATTGCCAAGAGCACAGCAGGAAGTTTTGCAATACATATGATGCGAAAATTACCTCGCTTCTCCGTCTCTCTTGTTCTTCACTAGACGATTTCAAAAGCTAGTGTCCGTTCTACGCTAACCATCATGCGCCTGACATCAGCATTTGCGATTTTATCCACTGTGGGCGCGAGTCTGGCTCGCTTTGGACAACAGCAGCAGACCCCGAGCCAGAGCCCATCATCCAGAACGAGACGTTTTATCGTGGAGCTGGCGAAAGTAAGATGTCACGGTGTTG